TTAAAATTTTTAAAAACCTGATACATTTAATTTATGTAGTCATATTTATAAATTGGCACTGTATTCATGCTGTCTTGTTTCACAAAATGTCTTTCCACCTAGTTCTTGGACGTCCTACTCTTCTCTTTCCTTCCGGTCTTCTATCTCTAGTCACTTTCACCATTCTGTCTATACGGTCGTTCCATTTCTTTCTTCTTTCTCGAACCCAGTCTGAGATTATATCTATTTGGCAAGTTTGTCTTATATTAATATTAGGTTCTTTATCCCTTAGCGTTTTATTTGTAATTTTTCTCAGCACCCGCATTTCCGACACATCATTTGGCATATTTTTTTGAGTCTGCTCTCATTTCAGATGCATATGAGTATACTGGTCTGATTACTGCCTTATACATTCTAATTTTAGTGTCTTTTCTTAGATATTGATTTTGCCATATCGAGTGGTTGAGACAGCCTGCTATTCTATTTCCTTTTATGCTTTGTTCCTTAGCCTCTTTTATAGACCTGCCATCACTAGTTATTGTTATGCCTCGATATTGTATTTCCATCACTTGCTCTATTAGGTATTCATTTATAGCTAGTTTACATCTCAATGGCTCTTTCGAGATTGTTATTCATTTAGTTTTTTGTGTGGATATTCTCATTTTGAATGACTTGCATATCTTGTAGAACTGAAACAGGAGGCATTGTAAATCATCTTCGCTTCCGGCAATTAAGACTATCGTCTGCATAACAGATTGAGTATATGTTATAAGAGCCAAAGTAATATAGTTTTTTATTCGAAAGATTGTTTAGGATGTGTTTCATTACCAGATTGAAGAGTATTGGGCTGAGGGAGTCTCCTTGTCTTATTCCTTGACCTGTTGTTATGGCTTGGGATATTTCTTCGTTATGTTTTACTGTCATTCTGGTGTTCATATATATATTTGCTATGAGGTTGCAGGGGATACTTTCTTTCTTTAATCTAATTCTTTATGTACGGATTGCCCCCCATATTTTAATAGTTCGTTATATATGCCAACATCTGTGGGTGATTTCCTATTTTTTCATTTGGTATCATTTGTATAATCTGTTATTCTGAGATATCATAGTCTTTTGTTAGTGTGTCAGCTATATCCACTACTGGAGCCTCGTTATTGTGAAATACCTTACTAAAATATTCCACCCATTCCGTGTTACTGATTTTTGTTGTACTTATCAACTCATTTGTTTCAGAGCGTTTATTTCTTATGAAACGCCATATCTGTTTTTGCAGGCCATAAAAGTCTTGTTCCATTCTTGCAGTAAATGATTCCCAATAATTTTGTTTTATTTTCCTGATCTTTATATTTACTTGATTTCTTATAAGTTTGTATTCTTCATAGTCTTGTGATAATTTAGACTGTATTTGAGAAATACTTGGAGTTTCTCCCTAGCTATTTCTTTACCCTCTTCTGTATACCATGGTATATTTTGAGAAATGAAATTTACTATTTTGAGACTGCAATGAATTAGGAGTTTTGCTATTCTGAGAAATGAAAGAATTTCAAAGTGCATTTTTAAAGAACAGTGAAACACAGTATTGGTATGAGCAAACACATGGGAAAAATGTTATTTGTTTGTTACTGGTTTTCAGTTCATTTGGAATTTCATTTGTTTTGACGTACAGTTCTTAGCAATGTAGGTTTTCTTTGTAATAGGAACTCTGGACGTGAAAAAAAATATTCATAGTAATGTATCTTACTTTATTCAAGGTTTGGGTCAGTTCTTTCACCATATTTGCTGCCAAATCCTTCATCCAGGGATTGCCTACCACAGTATATGCTGCCATGCAGTGCAAACACATTCTCCACATCGCAACTCCAGAATATCTTTACGCCATATTTACCAGGCTTATTCGGCATGTACATTCCGAAAGGACACTGCCCTCCAAAGCTAACTAATTGTTCATCCACAGTTACAAATTCACTACAATTATATATACTTTTACAGATATTTATAAAAATCTGCCATACGTAACTAATTTAGAGAAATTTATCTGTTTATCCTTTTGTGTTTATTGTTCATCTGTCATCAAAGTGTATGCACCTTCGAATGTCTTGACTCTTATGAATATTCACTACTGCTGTGAATAACCAATCACTTCTTACATGCAAAAATAATTTCCATCACTGAGTAATCAAACTCGTCTTGATTTGAATTTTCACAGTTATTCACTGAAGAAATATTAACACTTCCCTCACAATTTACACAAGGAACATGTCCACAATTGTGGCTGAAATGAAACTAAATTTCGTATTGATTATTTGCAATTGCGTCATAAAGTGAAAGTATAAAGGGATTTCATTGCCATAGTCTTGTCGAACTCTACGCATTTTTCCTCACAGAAATACCTTCAACTAAGCATGAGGTCAATAGGGGGTGGGGGAGGGGATTTTAGACCCCTTAAGTGGAAAGTATAATTTCTAAAAATCGATTAGTTTCTGTTTACCCTCTTTGTACAACTAGTAACCAAAATGATTATTTTAAGATTTCCAAAAATATTATTAGCCGCAAACAAAAAACAATACAATAAAGGCCTTCAATAGAAGTCAGGGGGCCTCTGAGGCCCCTTTGGAGCATCGACGGTTAAACAGACAAAATTAGAAGAAAAAATATAAAATTCATGAAATATTTGCAATTGAAATTTCAAGTAAATTGACAAGATATCATTCAATTCCTATTTTGTCCAATTCAGAGAATTATACTTACAACACATAATCAAGATGTTCCTAACACAAGAAGAAAAAAATCAAGGAACTACAAAAAACTTAACATTTAAAAAAATCACAAATTTATTTAAAAGAATTTAAGGTACGTTATTTGAAGCATCAACCTATTTGAGCCCTTGAAATTTCAAAACGATTTAAAGAGTAAGATTTTAAAATTTCATAACGAAGGAGTAACATTGTCTTTCAAAATCAGAGATACCAAGCAGACTGACACTTTCTTTGGCAACGGTACTAGCAATTATTCTCCCATTAATTTTATCCCAAACTGGGAGTTTATAATTTCAAAATTTGAAGCAATTTAGGAAATGAAACTCCCAATTGAGTAACATTGTTACTTCTCCAAACTCATCAAGTGAAGAGAAATTTTAATTGAAGAACAAGTGTTTCTGTGAAAACCTCTGAATTTTGACACCAATTCACTACAATGGCCAGATGAACACAAGTAATTTTACCTACTCTTATCTTCAGAATCCTTCAATATTCATATCTTAAAAAGCATTATTTTCTTGCATAAGAGAAGGTATAAAATGTATACCTTATTGTTATATACCATAAAACTAAATACAGTAAAGTACAAGTTGAAGAAAGATGCAGCAATTTTGAGTACCCACTTTCATCTGGTTTTCAAGAAAGATGTGAAATGTGTTCATGTCTACAACAGATTCCTCACAAAACTTCAGTTATCTCTACCTTAATGACCAATAAATTAATAAGATGCAATTCTAAACTTATGATTAACAGCTTAAATACCTTGAATATCATCTCGGTTCCATCCATCCAATTTTTTTTCCATTCAATTTCAAGTCTTTGTTATTAATTATTAACAGCATTGAGTAATATATGTAAATCTAGCAGAATAGTTCCATTTATTACAATTGTCAGCATTTATTAATATTGCGAAAGTGACATTTCTCTAACCATCACCCAAGGATCTTTGAAGCATACCCATCCAAAGAATTATTTAAAATCACAAGTTATCAAACAACATGAACCAGAGTGAACCTGAACAAAATTAAAGCAACACGAACCTTTGTGAACAGTAATATTGAATAAAAACTCTTAGCACTTTATCATTTGCAATCACAACTTTGCAACTTACAAAAAGGCAAACATTACTACCTAGGATAGCTCTTTACAGATACTTCCACATTATACAGGTTGAGCAGAGTCTTTAAGGTATCCTCCAAACTGAACTCCAATATTATTGTCATGGCCTCATTCGCCAACATCAAAAGATTGAATAACTACATAATACCAAAGCTATAACTAAACCAAACTAAATTTTCAAAGATACTCTCACACTTTTTAGATATTCCCAAAAGTAAACCTTAGAAAACATCTGAACATATATCCTGAACTAATACATCAAATAAGTCTGACAACTCAAACAGAATTATCATTTTCTTCTTAAATAGAAAGTAAACCATTGAAACTGCTTTTATTTGCGATTTTAAGACTTTCACATCCAAAATTTAACATACTTTATGAAATATATAAATATATATTTTTAATACTGTAATTTGCAGCAGAATTCAGTTTGAAACAAACACTACATATTTTGGTTTCAGAAGGTCCACACTTTTTATTACTTTGCAACAAATCATCACAATTTAACAACTTTTTTTTTTAAATAATTAGGTTTAAATACTATGTTTGAAGAGGAGAATAGCAAAGGAAATTGGCTTAAATTATACAACATTAACTGACACGAACTTCATGAAAAGTATTCCTTTTCCACTAAACAGCTTTTTTTCCTTGTAAATAAAATATTTTTGGCAAATATTGGAAGGTTTGTTCCACTTGTTCCTTAAAATTATTAATGGTAATAAAAATCAATAAAACACAAAAGTTGTTTTGCTCATGATGTGATTAATTGAAATTTAAAAGTAATGTAGAGAGCTTTTCTTGTTGATAAACACAAGTCAATCTAATGTTATTTCAGATTTTGAGATGCATAACAGCTATCCATTAAACATACAATTTCAAACACTACATCAAAATTGCTTTCAACTGTATCCTACTGGTATTTTACCAGATTTCCAGTGAGATTCAGAGACAGTTGCTAATGGAATTGTTTTGTTTTTTTTATTATACACAAATAAATATTCCTCTTTTTATTAAAAATTACAAAAACCATAAACATCAATACATGCAAGATTCACAAATTATTGCAAATTAATAAAGCACAGCCTTCAATGAAAAACAGATTTACATCAAAAATGCAACACACAAGTATTAATTCAAAAAACAAACCTGACACTTTTGTCGAAAAAGCCGTCGCAAGAACATTTGATAGTTGAATGTTGAAATGTCATGATTTCCCAAGCAGCCACATAACAATCTCACAATTAACTCCTGCAACAAAGAGCTGCCAGAATCTTCAGTTCCATCTGTTAGCAAAGCCTCCTCTAATTCCTGGAACAGATAAAACTTTATTATAATTTCAATACAAATTATAATAATGCATTTCAACTGTAAATAATACTTTAATTGGAAAATGAAGGGTATGTATATATATATATATGAATCTTCACTTCCCAGTAATTTGATTCTTAAACTGACATTTTCTTTCTTCATAAGTAACTAATCATGTTAATTTCACACTTTTATTAATAATACAAAAAATACCTAAAAAGTGTGTAACAAGATTATTAGAAGATTAATTATGACAACACTTGATTAGATTTTTCAAAATTAGTCATTCTTTATACTTGAAGTTATTAAAAGTTACAAATGAACAGTAGAGAAATCACAAACCTCGATGTCAAAATCTAGAAGATTGAAAGCTGCTCTGAACAAAGAACAAAAATGGGCAATACTGGGCACTTCCCACCATGATTGAATATCTGAAAATGACAATGTTCAACATCAGTCACATAAGAGAAGTCAAAGCTGTAATGCCAAATGAAGTATTCACTCAAATCATATAATATCTAAAAAGAAGCTCAGAGTCGAAGGTTCATTAAACAGTAGGCTTAAACTAAACATGTTACTGCCACGAAGCGGTTGATTAGAAAACTAATAATGACAAATCTTCGTTACAGGTAACCTAACCTACAACTAAACACTCGAATGGCAACCACAAACACATCTATCCTACCAAATTCCGCATACGTCTTCCAAGCACTCGACACACAATTTCTAGAAACCATATTTCTCAAACATACAACTCAAAATTCACAAGAATGAGTGCATATTTACCATCCATCTGCATCCAGAAAAATTCACAAACTATACCAAAATTGATCGCAAACACAACAGTAACCCTCCACTACTTCACTGTTTTGAATCACCGGAAGTACTTTAGGTATTGGTGGGGAGATGGCATAGGTTGTGCGAACAATTGAAAAACTGTTTCCGTCGGGACGAGCCTCGCTCGCATTATAAATATATAATAATAGTATTTCACGTTATGACTATTTTTTAAAATAACTTCTATCTTATTGGGGAAGACTGACTGGAAGAAACAATTATTATCTAGCCTCCCTCCATTTACTGAATACTCAATGACAATAGTTTTCATGTCTTCCCTCTACCATTTCTAAAAAAGATTTGATATCCGGTGTTAGGCCTACACGAAGACGTCTGGATCACTGAAATTTACGCATTGATAGGTATTTTACGAATATACGTTTATTTCGATGCATTACTCTTTTTTTATTTCGGAATTTTATTACTTACAATGATTGAATGTTTTCGAGAAAAGTGAAATATTTTGTCTTGAAAGTTGAATACACAATTTTGTGTATTAATGTTTTAGATTATATAAAATGACATAGGGCAAGACATTTCAATTTTGTACGTATTTTATGAATTATGAGTCATATGTATAATGTTGGTCCGACAGCTTAACAGATACCCCGATAAGATATAAGGATTATAAACGAGAAATGATAAGAGGATACGGCGCAGGCTATCCGGTTACCAAGCTGTTATCGACTGCCTTTGAAACCAATTTACGTTTGTTATAGGTATTACTACCACAGGAGTGTTAAACCGTGTTGAACATGGGTTTACCAAAGGAATTGGAAGAAATTTTTGGGTAATATTTATTATATAATTTCAATTTCGTGGATTAAGAAATTTAATGGTGGTAATGAAAATAATTTTATTACAGTTTTGTGGATTCCCATAAAAGTCAGTATATTGACAATTTAAGGGATGTTGTGGCAATCCAGTCGGTTTCAGCATGGCCTAAAAGCCGCCAAGAAATAGTAAAAGTTGTCAAATGGGTCGAAGACAGACTTACAAAATTGGGTGCCAGTGTCGAACTCTGCGATGTGGGAAAGCAGGTATGAAATAGATTCGTATTTAAAATGTTTTAATGATACACCATTTATTGATTCCATTTTCTTTTAGTAGCATTATTCACTGACACTTCTTTTTTTTTTCAGGAATTACCTGATGGTTCAGTTATAGACTTACCTCCTGTTTTACTGGGAATATTGGGAAATGATCCTCAAAAGCAAACTGTTTGCGTCTATGGCCACTTAGATGTTCAACCTGCTCTTAAGGAAGATGGTTGGGATACTGAACCATTTATTTTGACTGAAAAAGATGGTAAATTATATGGAAGAGGTGCCACTGATGATAAAGGCCCAGTTTTGTGTTGGCTTCATGCTATAGAAGCATATCAGAAACTTAAAATACCTATTCCTGTAAATGTGAAGGTAAGTTGATTCTGTATTGTCTCATACCTTCCATTTTGAAGAAAGGTTTATTGAAAAATTTCTCTCTCTGTTATGTTTAATTTTGTAATTAGTACAGCATTAATGCTTTAATTACAAAACAAATTATGAAGAGATAACTAATGTATAATGTTAAAATATTGTGGAGATTTTTATGAAATATCAACACTTGTTTTTTTATCCTCACATGGTTGAAGTCGTTGCCTAAATTCACAACCAAAAATATTAAATGAAATGATATATTTGTCCCTCCCCTGAATATTCATACTTCTATCCTTTTTGATATGAAATTTCCATTGCTGGAGTTGTTAGTGATTTGCTTAGCTTCTTTCTGTAAGGTTGAACAGGTACAGGCGTAACATGTTTGTGGATGGGTGACTGTCTGGAAACCCCAAAGATCTAATGTTGCTGAGGCCCTCACTAAAGGGATGAAAAGGGAATGATTGACTAAGTTAAAGGGGAATTACTGCACTACATGTTCAACACCAGTTCTTGGTCATAAATAGAACGTTGTTACAAATTAACATACCATAGGATGTATTTTACATATTTTTTTAAATTAACTCCTCTAAAATTAACGTATCTCCTGCTCTGCCATGCTCCCCATGTAAGGTAGAGTGGATTTTCTTCAAATTGCTTTAGAATCAACAATGTCAGGAAAACAACTCGTATGCTTTCGTCGATGGTCAATGCTAGCACCTAAACCGTTTAACCGATTTTCTCCAAGATTGATATTCACCAATCAATCTAACTGATATCGCCTTGTGAATTTGAGTTCAATATTTTAATTTTGGGGATTATTTACAAGAAGCCCCTGGTATATTAAAAAATAATGGCACAAAATATTTTCATTTAATTTTGTTGTTGAATAGCCTGACCAACGCTTAAGAGGATGGTATAGGTCCCATTTTCATTAAAATCCCTGATTTTTCGAAAATCACAAAACTTTTACTTTTTTGTGTCTTGATCTAAAGTATTTAATAAAGACTGTTTTTCTGAATGAAATCTGTTCTTTAAAGTCGGTTTTTCAAATAAGGTCACAGACAATTTTTCAAAAATATTAATAGTTTTGACTTAATTTGGCGTGAAATTATTGCTTTCAACCATGCCTCCCACCTCATTATTACAGGTTCTGCGTGTAAGGAAATGTCAAGTACCTTTCTTTAAATTTTTCTGTTATGTCGACTTTGAAGGTATGTTTTGCTTACAGTACGTTTCTAAAATCCCTTTCATTGTTGAGTTTTGCTCAACATTCCAAGGAATATCAGTGCTGATAAAAGTGTGACACATATGGGAGTAAAATTGGTTTTGTTTTCCCAAAGTGAGAGGTTCAGTTACAATTATGTGTGTTTGCAGGCACTTATGATTTCCTCCATGAAGGAGAGTTTTTTTTTGTTCCAAGAGAGTGTGTTTGTTCTTTGCGGCTATCGACCAAGAAAAAAATTAAAGTCTTCAGCCGATATTCCCCAAAATTTATATTCACTGATCAATCTTAATAAACTCAAGGCTTTGGGAGATTCAAATAGATATTTTGATTTTGAGGGTACTTTACATTAAACCTTAAAAACCTTTTCAAACGTTTCTCAACAATGGAACCAAATTTTTTGATTAAACGTTGAGCTTAGATAGCGTAAGAAATGCTTAAGAGAATAGTGCAGGATTCCTTTTTTGTTGAAATCCCTGATTTTTCTTAGATTGCAAAAGTACAATATTTTTTGGGTGTCTTATATTCATTAAACAGGCAATCGCAGACAAAAAAAATGTTACAAAATGTGTAGTTGTAAAATCAATGAAATACATTTAATTACTTAATTTTAGCAAATCTAATATACTTAAGTTTCTGGCATAAAAAATAAATTTGTTTCGTATGTATTAGTTATTCATTTATTCACGCAACTGTAAGATTATATCTTTTCCACTTTTCATATATTAATATTCCTACTCCAACCATAGCTCTCATTTATCTGGACACTGCTGTATATTATTGTGTAAGTGCCTGTGTCCATTGTTCCTTTTTATTTCTGTTATCACCAAATCCATCTTGGCATTATGTATTTCTAATTCTAATTCCTGTTGCTTTTGGGAGAGACCATGAACGTTCCAGATTCCGATGTTTGTAAATTCCTTTTTTCCTTTTCGTTTGTCCTTTAAATGTTTAGCTTGGTTTGTATAAGTTAGAGGCCAGCTATCACTTTTGAGAGTACCAGTAATTAAAACTCTCCTGGCCGTGTTATGGGCACTGCACAGGGAAAGTCTGGTGGAAGGACTGCTTCCTCACTGCTCCCAGACTAGCAGAATTAGGATTGTTTCTCTTAGTCGAGTTGGTTCCTCTAGATCTGCGGAGTCTCATCTACTACTAATGTAAGGAAAATAGAGAATGAGAAGAGTGGAAGAAGAAAGAGAGAAAAGAGCAGATATGCAGTAAAGAGAAGATTTGTAAATTAATAACACCCTAGCCCTCGAGACCGAATAGCATCTGGGTCCAAAACAACAAGGGGTAAAGAGAGATCATTTAGGAAAGATAAAAGAAGTGTAGCATCAGTAAGTGGAAGTAATGCTACACTAGGTTGCGAAACTTTAGCATTACCTAGGGGACATCACGTGAAGGCGGTTCATATATTTGTTCATTGTTCCAACTCAGTTCTAAAACTCAAATTATGTAGTAAAGGCATATAATTTTCTGTAGATTATTGTATGTCATCCTGTGTGAATGCTTGATTTAACTGTACTGAAATTGTTCTTTGTAATTCTTGTGTTCTTCTGGAGATCATTTGAAGACAACTGCATTTAATATGAGCAGATTCACAATTGTACTAATTAAATAAATATGTTTAACATAATGATAAATGATATTTATTAACAAATATTATGTACAGAGTTTTTAATTTTTTGTTGTTATTTGTTGTTTTTTAATTTTTTTATTTTTTTTTTATTTTTTTTATTTATTTATTTATTTATTTTCAGTTTGTGTTTGAAGGAATGGAAGAATCAGGAAGTGAAGGACTTGATGATTTGTTAAATGCCCGGAAATCTACATTTTTTAAAGATGTTGATTATGTATGCATTTCTGATAACTATTGGCTGGGAAAAAATAAGCCATGTGTTACCTATGGCTTGAGAGGAATATGTTACTTCTTCATAGAAATAGACTGTGCCAGCAAGGACCTACATAGTGGAGTTTTTGGTGGAACTGTGTAAGATTTTTTTTGCTCTTCTTCTTCTTCATCTCATTATTATTATTATTATTTGCTCACCCTGTTTTATTGTCATTCCCTAGTAGTCCCTAGTAGTTTCTTTTATCTATTAGAAGGTATTATGATTCTACTTTGTAAATAAATAAACTAAAAACATGTGTTCTTGTCAAGTGAAAATGTGGGAAGGCAGTGGTCACCCAGCAGACATAGGCATGCTCTTATTTAATGTTTTCACTACTGTAAATTCCAGAAGTACTTGTTGCAATAGCTTGAAGGAATAAGACAAACCACAGTGCTTTGATGTGGTTGGTAATGGCTTGAGCATTATATCATAAGTAACTGATGTAGCCAACATTCACTTGTAAGCTGCATAGTGTAGCTTCATTCATTTGATTGGGCAACACAACCATTCTTCATTGTAAACTATCATCTGTCATGTATATACATGTTTTGCTGAGAAAATAAGTATGTTTTATAATGTCACAGTTTCATTCAAAAATGTATATATCTATTGACATTTTTGAAACACAAACAAATGAAGATCATTCCATCTGAACAGTTAATTTCATTGTTTTATAAATTTCTTTCTTGTTTCAAATTCAACATTTTTCCTTTGTATTTTGATGTACAAATTTAATTTTAATCAGTTTGATCATTTTTATACATATTTATATATTTTCCTGCAATTGTGTGTTGTCCAATCTTTCTTTTCATGCGCTTCATTTTTCTCTTTTAGATAATTAGTTAATAAATTAGTTTTCATTTACAGTTTCTTACTTTTAATTCAGTTTTTTGCTCGATTTGTATATTGTACTGTACAGTAGTTTGTAAGAGGTTTCCTAGTATATGGCCCAGTGCATTTATTTCGATCTTTTATGTCAATTCATTTTTTTAAACAAGGAGAAAATCAGAACGGGTTCTTGTGAAATTACCATTCAAATTACCATGGTACCAAAACGTAAGCACAATACTTGTCTCAAAAATTTGTATAATTCTAGGCATTAGTTCCTATAAAATTAGTAGAAATGTTCACATTTATCGAGTGCTTTAAACAGATTATCTTCTTTACCAAGTGGCATGAAAAGACAGATAACAGTAGAGAGTCTGTCTGAAAGCAAACATTGGCCAAGACCAGATCTTTGCAGAGGATTCTGAGAATAACATTTCCTTGCCACAGGGATTATATCTTTACAACTCTGGCACTTTAATCTTTATTAATTATATTTAGATTTCTTTAAATAACATTTATTAAAAATATTATCACACTCATTACCATGAAAAAAAATTATGTACATTTCTTCTGTTCATATTTTGTTCAAAACTTGTGATAACTAATTTTTAACCCTTAACTTGCTATTAACGACTTGATAAAAATGCAAATGATGAATGTTTTTGTGATATCTTTCATCTGTTGTTTCTTTTCTCATTTCTTTACTTTCTCTTTTGGTTTAGCAATGAATTTGTTACATTCCCCCAACAACTCTATAGTGATGTGAACCAGTTAACACTATGTATGCTGCTGAAATATGAATTGTAGTTCAGTAAGGAAAGCAGAGAAGCATTACAGTAGTCAGCTAACACATTACTGTAAAGAAGAGCAACCCATTGCAATTGGTAAATGACGACCACTGGTCGTAAGTCATAGTAGTTTCATGGTAGCGTATCATTGCCACACTACTTGCTGAACCACATGATAGTTCAAGAGAATACAACCTTGTCCGTATGCCCTTTTTCATCTCAAAGGTCCTTGCCATGTGAGTAAATGACACGAGTCATGTGTCTTATGTCCTTCAATATATTCACATAGTCCTTATGAGATATTGTGTTAAAATGGGTTCAGCAGCATCTTTGTTCATGTATTTGATCAGAGTTGACATAAGGTACATCATGATCAGTGCAGAAAGCAGTCATTCTAGTCCAATGTCCAGGCCGGTTGGTTGTACAATTCTCTATAGTGTTTTGTCGCTTAAATTTGAAAGATGCCCTCTTCTTTCTTCATTTAACCATTGGCAGAGAAAGTTTCAACACTCTGTGCTAATGGTCACTTTATTTTCTCATATTCACAGTAACATAGTGTGACAATATTTTTCTTGGTAGACTCCAAAATAGATTTTCGTATTATTATTAATTGCCATCTCAAAATTATACGAAGTTGATGTATCTAATTTGTACTTGTCATCATTAAATTGATCAAATGTATGCTTGTACAGAAACATAAGCTATTGCTATTGCTACACTAGTATTTAGATCATTTTGTATGACCAGTTAGGTTCTTTTCAACCCACCTCTGTGAATAAGATGATCTTTTAAGTGAGGTTTCTGATTATCTAGTATTTCTAGATAATTTCTTGTAATGGGATCTTTCTGTCTTGTCATCTCTAACACCTAACACTTGTTTCACTAAAAAATCTACACTGGAAATTCATTACTGTTTAATGATATTTGTTACTACGTCCTTTTTCTACCCCTTAGAGCAAAATATAATTGTTTCCAAATTATATTCAAGTATTCACAAGTACCTCAAAAAAATTAATAAATCTACCAAAGTGAATTAAACCTATCTGAAAAACCATTAAATTTCATAGAAAATGTGCATGGATGGCATACATAGAATTTATTCCTTGTCCTGTATAATAGATTGTTGTGAACAATAAATACCCAGGCAAGGCAACACAGAGTACTTCAATTAGTCTCCAATAAATTGGTATTCAAAGGTGGAAGTTAAGAAAATAGTGTTTGAAAGGCACCATCATAAATGGAACTGCAAGTGGACTGCTATTTCATGTTGCCTCTTTTGAGGCCTTAGGTGTCAACAAGAGGTTGGTCATTTTGATCACGATTGCTAGATCCACCGCGAAAGGTCAAAGCAGTGCCCAATGGCCAAGTTGATGACCATCCTCCCCCGAAGGGTCAACAGGCTGGAAAGAAATCTTCACTGTTGCCATTAGTCAATATGGAATAACAACAACCAATGGAGACCAGAAAATAAAGAGAATTTTTAAATACAACTGTAGACATTTATTTGAATTGTTAAGTCTTAATGGTTTTAAGCGTTACATGCCTGCGGACTGAGCCTCCACACTCTTATATTTTTGTCTCTCATCGTTAAATATGAGGAGGTATTTAGTTGTGGCTTCCTGTATCGTCCTCAGCCTTGGTGACTTATTGATAGGTGTCAAAAATTCCTTTCTCTGTCGCTGCAGACATTGCCCACAGGAGAATATTTAGCGATGCGGAGTGTCCGTCCATGCGTGTGTGTTCATGTTATATGTTCTACTCTCATGTTTCTTGTGTGTGTTACTATTGAAACATAGTATTTTCAATTTAAACAAAATGTTTATGCATGTCTTTAGTAGTTCATCAATGTCATAAGAGAAGTGCATAAATATGTTTTCTGTTATAAAAATTTCATAAAATCTCAAATAATTTGCATATAAACAACTCCAATATTGGGACAGATTTATGGTTCAATTAGTTATAAATACACAAAGTTATTCAATAAAACCTCAACCCCTTATATTTTCTAATATAAACAGTTCAAGATATTGAGATGAAATTTCCACTAAACAATTTAGGTCATAAGGCTTAATTATTAGCTTTTTGACAGCATTTTTTATTTTGAACGAAATATTTCTGAAAGTAACACATTACTTATTATTATTATTTGTATTGTATGTTGTTCTCCATCTTCTAATGTTTTTTTAATATCAGACTGCTTGCAGAGAAATGTGTTGTCACAAACAACAAAAATTTCATTAAATATAAATTAATCTAATGAAAATACAAAAAGTAATCCCAACAATTGATTGATGTTATTGCTACACGAAGTCTATGGGATATTCACGAAAAATACTATAAAAAGCTCTTTTAACTTTGGCAGAAGATAGTGGTTTAAGTTTGGAGAGTGGGAGCATGACCGAAAAGGTAGCCTAGACTTCGAAGATTATGTAACTGACTAGAATGAGAAAGTCTGTGCCATTCTGTAGCACCACTAGTGCATTTTAAGTTAAACATTGCAAAAATGGTTAAGATAAGTAGAAGATGAAATGGAGAGTACAATGAGGGAAGTTGGTAGAGGTGTGGGGAGAAGAGGGCAAGAGTAGGTAGAGAGGAACAACAGTTGTATAAAGAGAAGGTTGATAGAAGAGAGAAAGAAAAAGTGAAGGGAAGGAATGAGAGAAAGGAAAAAGAAGAGAGGTGGTGAGAAGTAGGGGAGAATAAGAAGGAAATACGTCACAATTGACAATCTCATATTAGAGCATTGTAGCATCTACAAGGATATATGCCTACGTATTCTGCCATTTTCTCAGAAACAAGACACTACATATTTTTCATCATCAAACACCTAGAAAGAGATTCACCTATAATTTTGTTAGTATTGCCTTCTTGGAAGTAGTTTTATTCAAAAGCCATCAAAAACAAGCTCATTACACCAACAGCCTGTCTCAAAACTAATTTCAAACTCTACCAACTTCAAATCACTCAAATTCAAAAATTTCTCACATGGTCATCTAGCAGAAGTGAAAAATACAAATGAAGTAAATGTGTTAGTCTTGTGATGCCACACAATCAATTTATGAACTACAATTTTGAATATGTACAGAAATATTCCACTTTTACTTTACTTCCCAATGTGAAGGAAACGGCAGGTAGTAGGTACCTTTGGCCTGATGAAAAACGTTCATTTCTATTGAGATAGTTTTTTATTTAATTAACACTAATTAATTATTTATTTTATTCTTCCCTTCCTTGGGCAGCCATTTGAGATAAGTTTTATGTAATTAACTAACAAATTATTTATGTTGCCCAGTTAATATTACATTTATTATAATACTGATTAATATTTCGGTTAAAGTAGGGTACATGGTACACCCTCAGAGAAGCGTGGCGCTAGGGGGGGGGAGTGAGGGGTCTTCTTAAGCCCTCCTTCAAAGTACACTCTGATGGAAGTTATGGATAGGCGATTTTCAGGTCTTGCCCTTCGTACGCTTTGTCCTCACCACGTTGTAATGTCAATTTATTTTCAAAGGCAAGTTTTCTCGCTTCGCTCACCCAGATCCGAGTCACGGCAAGGCTTGGGCCTTCAGCCCTCACATTCACTATAAACATCATTGAGTCTATCCACTACATAATTACCAATTCACTTTTATTAGAAAGCACCCTTCAAAAAGCCTTCAGAATTCAAACTGCGCAGTTGCCGCCGGAGTGGTGCGAAGTTTGAACATCTTCCGTAAGTTGTTCCGTATACTAGACTTCAGCCAATATTTCTATTTCAAACATTACATTGATTTTACAAACCTGGGTTCAACATATAACATTTGACCATCGTATTTTATTATTATATGTGGACGTGCGACTGCACAGAGCCACAATTCCTGGAAGTTCTGCTGTATTATCCTGTTATAAACCAAATTGATGGCAACATCTACAAATTATCAACCTTTCTACTATGTTTTATAATAAAGAATTGACATTTATTCTGCAGATCTAAATTTGGTTTACTATTGGTATTTGAGCTAATTGATGATTTATCTTAAATTTGTGTAGTCACAAATTCAAGGTGTGGTATTTCTTGTATAAATGTTCGTAAGCTTATGAAAATATCTTTCACGCCGGTCTTCAAGAGGTCTTTCGTCCTGATGCTGTCGATGCGATGTCCTCGCGCTGCTCCTACTATTGTCCTAAATTCTGGCAGCGGTAGAATTTTTGTAATGTTCTCTGAAAATTCTGTTTGATAGTAATATTTTATAATACTGTCTATTCAATTAATGCAGTTCGCAAACACGACTTTCCATTCCTGTGCCTCCAATGAAGCGCCTACTTGCGACTGCCTGTCATATTACTCGACTTACATCAATATGTATGCCCAGTTATGAATCTATTCTACAATAATTTCCCATGTACAAAGTCTATTTTACATGAATCCCCAAAATTGCAAATTACAACACAAGTAAGAATGATTCCCTCAAATTACACATTATATACTACACATAAACAAATCACACAAATAACATAAGTTTCCCATTTCCTAACATCAAAATGTTACCCAGCCTAAATCTGCAAAATTATTACTGTCCACTTCCATTGCTTCCAAGAGAGAGACTGCCCCATTCTAAATAATCGCGGCACCTCGAGTTTCAATGCCGTCTTGTCATGAATTCAACAATATGTCCCGGTGCCATGCTTCGCAAATGAATCAAGTATTTAGACCTTTAAGCACGGAACACAAAGTTTGCTGACACATAGTCCTGACTATGTGTATTCCTTGATCTACACTATTGGTATGCATCCCATTCTAAAGTAAACATATGTTAAATCCAATTTTCCTCTATTAAATGCCTTGGGGAGGGGGAGGGATTTCTGGTAACTCACATTATTGACTGAGACCCACCATCTCTATCATTTTCTCCTGTTAAAGCAGATTCAGTGGAAGTGGAAGGTTGGGAGAGGTATACCCTCCATAGTTAGTGCATACCCCTACTAAAATTAATTTCGAAACAAGAATTATCAAATTGGAAGTTCATAGTTTATCTACCTACAAGTATTATTATGATCCATTCATATTATAACATATCCAAGTCCTAATCCTTCTATTCTGACCATCTCTCCTCTCTTCCCAATTTCTATGTACTTCTCAACCTAATTCTTAAAAAAATATTAATCATTTTGAATTTTCTTCTTCTCTCTTCATTATTTCCTTTCCTCTTTTCTAAATAATCTAACAACCACCACCTTACTCCTGCCCCTCTCTCATCCAGAATTATTTTCACATTATTCAGTTATTATAGATATCATAGTTTCTTCTTTCCTCTTTCCCACAACTGCATAAGTTACGACTCAAGTTTCTACCTCTCCTTCGCATATGCTGCATCTTCTCTCTTCTTTGAGGTAATATTATTTCCCAATATCTCATTACCAAGTCTAAATCTTGTGATTACCTTTTTACTTCCTTGCTACTCCTTACACATAGTAGAGAAAGTATTGAAATGTTGCAGGAAAAAACTGCGAATTTTCAACAGAAAAGCTCATATAAGCAGGCTCGTATAATGAAAAAGTGGGTAAATCTTGCCTCCATATGTATTGTAAATTGCATCCTCTAACATGTTGTGAATCAATGTTTTGTGGGTCCTTGATACAGAAAAATGGATTGGAAGATAAAAATTTTTGTCTCAAACAAAATTCATTCTAAAAAATCAGCTCATTAAAAAAAGCTCATGTAAATGTGTATGGAAAAAAAACTAGTTGTTTTGGGGAAATTTTTGCAAGAAATTAATGATATTCATACAGGTTTCCCACCAACTATGGGCCTCAGAAAACAGGGATAGATCAGAAGGATTTAAAAAATAATTAATTTAATTTTAATTATAATTTATTATTGAAGATCTCAATATGATTTATTTTACATTTGTATTCTCAATGAATTTATGTATTTTCGTTCAAGCAATCCGCCTAATTGAAATAGACGATTAGGTTTTCCTCTCCTAAAAATATGATTTAAATGTAATTTGAAAGAAAAATTGAAAAACTTCATTACCATAATTTTGTATGAACTTTTATTTAACTTTAATTTTGTATTTCACCCATAAGCTGCATTGGACAACAATTAAACAATGGATATTTGAGAAGTTGGTTGTTGAACAGTGGAATGATGGGAAAGATAAGATGAGGCAATTTTATTTAATTAATATTAGTGTAACAATGTTCTCTATGATCAGTAAAGTGGTACATTCAACTTTATTAAGGTGAAGAAGAATGTATACACAGATATGCATAAGGTAATGATACTGTATTTTTGAATGCATTCATACGGCAATATATCGGAAGACCTTGAACTCTGGATGTTTGATTTATATGTGAAGTTATCCTTGCCATTTATATGTGAAGTTATCCCTGTATGATTTGCTAGAAATAATGCATGCATTTATAAATTATATGAGAAAGCATGTGTTATTGTAGCACTAATTGTTCTTCATTTGCTTTCTTCCTTAAATAATCTTGGATTCCTGGTTTAGTTAGTAAACCTATAGACTTGATTGAAACATGATTTCCAAGATTTTCTCATACATTTCCTGTATAGTTAACTCTTTTTCCCTCTCATCACTGATCCTACTTACACCAACACACTCATTCCTTAGTCTTCCAATCTCAGCTCCTGAGTATCCTCTCTGCCTATAACACATTCCCTAACTCTTTCTTTCTTAATCTGACTACTTACTCCCCTCCCCTATCCTTAGTAACTTTTAGCATTCCCATACCAATTCATTTTCCTCACCTTTATCTAATTTGTCCTTGTACTTCATAACTCTGACCTGTAATTTAATGTAAGATTTTTTGAATATTGAAGTAACCAAGACAGTGTGCAATGCCCATAATTGGAATGGATTTTTAGTATTTATTGTATTCTTTTAAATTTCCCCAAGTCTTCACATTTCCAGCATCTTAATATTTACTTTTGTTTGTCATTCAATTATTAATTCATCACTTTTTGTTGTCAGCCTTCACTTTCTCAACAGACAGGTTTACATATATTAACACATTTAAATTTCCTTTAAGTATCCATTTATAGTAAGTACAAAAGAGTATTAACAGGCACGATATGCATATTATAAACTATAATTTATGTTTTCATTTTTAATAGAAACATTTAGAGTATGTTTTAAAATACAAATGTTTGTGTACCCATTCCTAGGCTTTTTCAAATGCAGGAACTAATATTTTTGTTAACTCTTTCAAGCAATTCTACATTCTGTGTAATTTTGTTTATCACATTGTCCCAAACACATAGAAGATAAATGAAATTGAATCTAATTTCACCTCCTTATAATAGTTATCAGAAAAAATTGTTGTATTTTTAATAATCATAGCAGTAGTTAACCTTAATTTTCCTTTGTTTACCTGTTTTCATAAAGATACATATTAAAACATTAAATTTTAAACTCTTCTGGAATGAATTCCCTAGAGATAATGCACTTAAATGAAATATAGTAGCCTAACCGTTCTGATATCTGTACTGATTTTGTGTACATCTTAAAAATGGAAACTGGAAGAAATCTGCGTAATAAAATAATGAGAACTTTACATTTGAAATATTTTTAAAAAAATAATTCAACATGCTGCTGTAAATGAATAATAAAAAAAACCTTGTATATTTAGTACAAAAGATTTTATTTCAGTGCAAATTTCACCATTACAATCTTTCTAATTCAAAGTATGTCTGCTTTGTAACTTTCATCTACACATTCAACATTATGTAGAATAATAATGCATATAAATTGGTCTGGGTAGATGTGATTGATTTTAATTTATAATATTTTTCTTTCAGGTACGAAGCACTTCCTGATCTCATTTATCTTCTCAACTCGCTTGTGGGAAAAAATGGAGATATTCTTATAAAAGGATTGCTTGATGATGTTGCTCCTGTAACAGAAGAAGAAAAGGCTTTGTATAAGAATATTGAATTTGATGTGTCTGAATATTGTTCTGAAGTCGGAGCTAGTTGTTTGCGTTATAACAATGACAAGGTTTGTGAATAATTACACTTTATAATTATTTGTATCCTTATGCTATTTGAATTTTAAAACTTAATTACTCAGAATTTGGTGTAATGTAGCTGGAAACTAAGAAGTTACTTATACTCTGATCTTAAGATTTGTGTTTTGGTTTTGTTTTTTCTTTAAAATTTGGAATAAAAAATATTCTTCATGGTTCTGATTTTATAATTGAATTATAATTTTATAATTAATTTAGGTTGATATTTTGATGCACCGTTGGAGATATCCTTCAGTTTCTATTCACGGAATTGAAGGTGCCTTCAGTGAATCTGGAGCCAAAACTGTAATTCCACGAAAAGTAATTGGCAAATTTTCTGTTAGAATTGTTCCGAATCAAACACCAGAGGGTGTTGAGAAGTGTGTTGTTGAGTATGTGAAAGAACAATGGAAATTACGTAACAGTATCAATTCAATGAAGGTAAGACATGAAAAAATGTTTTCTTTACTTAAACTCTCAAGGAGTAAATAATAATAAATGCTTACTTTTTTAGGTGTATATGGGACATGGTGGAAGACATTGGCTATCAGATCCTGGACATCCCCACTATCAGGCTGCTCAGAAAGCCACGGAGCATGTGTACAACATCACTCCTGATATGACCAGAGAAGGTGGTTCAATCCCAGTAACACTAACATTGCAGGTAGGTTTGGATTTCAAATGTACTTTAACTCAGATTGTGTGGTGATGATGGCAGTGGTGATGATGACCTATTATTATTATTATTATTATTATCATCATCATCATCATCATCATCATTATCATTATTAGTTGCGTGTAGGCTATTGATGACAACTCTACATGTTCTCTTCCATGGCAGAGTCATATTCTATCTCAGAGAATCTGAGAAGAACGTGTGTCGTTATAGGGGTCAGCTTTCCGGCTGTATCCCTTGTAAGACAAGGCTTGAATGAGCTCTCTGTGAAGTGATTATAATTGTTATTATGATACCAATCTCCTGAGGAATTCCAGAGTTACCTATACAGGATGTGAGCAGTGCCCATTAGCACAGACTTTTGTAGCTGGTATGCTGTGTGATAACCTCAAAACAACAATGAAACAAAAGATGGAAATGTAAATGGAGATTGCTATTAGAAGTCACAATCTCTAATGAAGGGAAATGTTATAAATTATCCTTTTCTTTCTTTCTTTCTTTTTGACACATGCTTTGTTTCTACACTTTTATGAAAAAATTACCATTATTTTAATACAAACAAAGAAAGTGCAAATATGTGATTTGTCTGAGTTGAAGAGCAAACCATGGCATATCGTGCAAGGCCCTGTAATCATATCTGTTATTAGGCTTAAGATTCAGCCCACCAGCCAGCTGTCAGCATTGCAGTACATTCACTGTTCCCAAATGTCACAAATGGTTTCCAGAGCCTACAACAGCGCTTGGAGTTTTGGAAATCCATATGAAGTTGTTCAGTTTAGGCCAAGATGAAATCAAAGAATTACAAAAATCACTTTCTACAGGAATCTATGTTTGTATGGTCAAAATGCTAAAGTAATTATTTATCGTTTACCGTATAACAAGAACAACTTGAAGCTGCCCTATTTCTTACCAGTGGGAGATTCAATTTTCAAAGTCCCATTTCGGGTGGCACGTCTACCCAAGAGGTAACGTTCTAGAGACCATTATTGACCAAAGGAACCTTCTAAATACTGGCCATACTACACAATTGTCTCTCACATCAAACACTTTCATCGATCTGTCTCTCTGCAATTCATCTCTCTAATATTATGAGTTCTTGATGATCTGCTAGCAGTGACTAATTACCAATCACTAGTCCACTTTGATATTCCTAATCTTGACATTGACTGCTCATCCCACTGATTAATCCTTCATGCTATTTGGGATGGATTCCAAAAACAAATTCTTATAACCATTCTTCTATTCATTCATCTTCAATCTCAGGCACAGTACAAATGCTTGCTACAGACTTGCAAGGAAGGACATAAAAATATCGGAAAGAGATGTGATGAAATTGAATCCTTGCAAAAACATACTGCAAATATAGTTGAAGATATTTCAACAGAATTTTGAAATTTCCATACTTACAGTGCTGTCCCTGAATCCCTTGCTATGATTTTTGAAGAGATTAAGGAGCATGATACTCACAAAAGAAATGTAATCCTTTATAAGATGCAGGAAGCTGATAGTGGTAATGCCAAGGAGCATGCGTCTCAAGATCTGGAAACTGTTAGAAATGTTTTGAGTAAATTAGAGGTAGATATTGAAGATCATGTGGTGTATACCATGCGATTAGGCAAATTAGATTGTGAGGCCTCTGATCCCAGACCTATAAAGGTTGTCTTGAATAATGCCAACATTGCTAAAAAGCTCCTGAGAAAGGGTAGAAAATTACCTGATAGACTTAAGGTAAACTATGATCAATGCAGAGAAAGGTGTTGAAAAATCTCAAGGAAAAACTGATTGATAAACAGAAATTGAATCCGATTCTAGTTATCAAGTATATTAGAGGTAACCTGTGGATTGTTTATGGGAAGGGAAACAGCATGGAGCAGCAACAAACAGTCGAGTAATTAACCCTAAAATTTTGTATACCAATTTATCATCTCATCCCCATGTTTGGTCAATTTCTCTCAGATGTTATCTCTGTACAACCAGATGTCATGATAGTTACGGAATCTTGGCTTAATTCTAATATCCCAAACCCTTTGATTCATATTCTTGATTTCTCTATCGCAAGGATAGACCAGATAGATGCAGGAGAGGAGTTCTGGTTTATGTCACAGAAAATTGGATCAGTGGTAGTAAGACTAAGGATTTTGAAGACCATCATGTACAAGGGTTATGTAGAAGGGTTATGACTGAGATTAAAGTTTGGGAAATTACAATTTACTATCAGCAGAGTATACAGACCACCATCATCTTATGCAAAACCAAGTTAATCCAATTTTAAACTCTCTGAAAAAATTGATAGGCGTGTGGATTGCATGAACCTGTTATAATTTTCAGAAATTTTCACTTTCTCACTATTGCCTGGACAAGGCATGGAGATACTCAAGGACTGAAGTGGAACAGGAGTTTTTGCAACACTATGTAGATTCTAATCTTACTCAGAATGTTAATGAACCAACATGGTATAGAGGAAACCAAACTCCTGCAATTCTGAATCTAGTGCTGACAAATGAAGAGAATTTTATAACTCCTCCGACGTTGAGACCAAATATTGGACAGAGTGATCGTCTAGTTATTTTTACAACCTTACAAACCGAATGATAAGATAAAGAAGACGTCTAAAGATGTCGGTGTGAAATGAAATTTCTTCAAAGCAGACTACTGGACAGTGATAGAGCATCTTGATGAATACCGTCAATCGATAAAAATGCGAAGTTTATATAATCTCCCAATTCAATAAGATGTTCATTTTCAGCAGTTTGTAATGATTTCCAACTAATATATTTTATAGTTTTTGAAATTTCAAAATGATTTGAAAATGAGTATAGGTGCTGAATAATGATTTTCACTGTATTTAAATCTTCTAGTTTTCGTGTTACAGTTCATAAAACTCTGTATAATATCGCACCATTTCAATAGTCTGTCTATTATGCTGACGTTAAAAGTAGGAAAGTGCAATGATAGTGCGCATTGTGCGCAACGCAAAATCCTTTCTATATGTGACAAACAAACTGTTGTAAATTGCGGGAAAATTGAAATTATACTAATGTAAAAGTGGGGTATTTATAACATTGTGAATATACAAAAACAAATGCGACCAACAAGAAATGTTGTAAATGTCAGGAATATGTAAATTGCAGAATTTTTTATATGAGAACTAATATTTAGCAAATTAAAACCCATACGTGAGAATCTTTTTGGGTTATGTACCCACTTCTGTGTTTTAAACAGAATGCATAGTTTTTTAAAAATGTGTTGTTTCTAGCCTGATAATGGGGCAAATTGAGGCTCGAAATGTTACTTTGTAGAAATATAAATAAATGCATTATTAACTGCATTAGTTTTTTTCAAGAAACTATTCATCCCCTGAACGGTCAAAATAACTTTCCTTAATAAACAAAGTAGTTCCAGCAAATGGCAGTGCATATAGTGCTTATTATTTCCAAGACTTCTGAGATGAATTTTCCATCAAACTTTCGATACTAATGTATGGCTATCAACATTATTATTTAAAAGCTTATAAAAACAAGAAATCGTTCAAATTATGATAGGAGGAGAGATAACAATAATTTAGCAAATTAGCAACCTATTTCTAATCATGGGGTAGCTTGAGTGATGGCAATCTGAAGAATTTATGCTGGATGGACTCAACTTTGTTTATATAGTTTTTATGAAAGAGGGCCAATACTGGAGAAGTATAGTATAGTAGGTATAATTGACAATAGATAAAATATTTTAAAAGTTGGAATATTTGTGTCGTTATAAAACAAAACTTGCGATATGCTTTATCCACCATATATTGGATGTTACTATCAAATTTGAGTTTTGAGTCTAAGGTAACTCCCTGATCTTTAAAATTAGAAATCAAGTTCAACAATGTCCATTAAATACATAATCATAATGCCCAATATTACTCGCTTGAGAGTATCTCATGACTTTACATTTATTATGATTTAAACTTAGTATATTATTCTTGCATCACAAAACCAGAGAATCCACGATCAACTGAAGTGTAGCAAAATCTTTAAGACTTTAACTTCCACATGCAATTCCATGTTGCCAACTAATGGCAAAAATACACCTGAAGAGAAACAATACTTTATTTCATTAATGAACAAGAGAAACAGTGTGAGTCCGTGAAGTAGCCCCGATATCCGTTGATACAAAAGACATATTTTACTTTTTGTATCCTGCTTCTCAATAGCTACCAGTTCATTTCAGGAAACTCCCATCAATACCTATGTGTTGAAGTTTTGATTGTAAAGTGCTATAATCAACAGAATTAAATGCTTTAGCAAAATCTGTATTCACAACATCAACCTGGGACTTTGTTTCTAGTTTCTCAATAATAGATTGCTGTAAAATCGTCAAATTTGTAGTTGTCGGCCTTTTCAAACTAAAACCATACTGTTCGTCAATCAATACTATATTTACTTGCATCATCAGCTTTTCAGTGCCAATAGCTTCAAAGTTTCAAATTTCTTTAAAAAGTTTGTAAATTTCCAAAATGATTTAACATTATACTTAATTTAATTTTTAGAGACATAAACATAACTTACTAGATTGTTTTCTCATAATTTTCTCTAATTAGAAAACTCTAAATAATTCAAATCATTAAAGCATTTTTTAAATTGCACGTGTGCATAATATTTCAATTTAAGCAATTGAATCAAGTTACTGGAATACCAAGGTGGATATACTTTTCTCACTATCAAATTATTATGAAATATCTATCTTAATTAATACCAACCGTTGTTTAGCCAAGACATCTGCTACCAGAATAAGCTCAGAAATAAACCTATTGTAAACATCTATTACCACACCACCTCCTTTCTTGTGATCATTTGCGAAGATAAACTTTCCATTCTATAGATAATGTAATTTGATAATCCCAAATCAGAGACCCAAATACCTTCATTCAACCCTGTCTTGGTAAAAATTAAAAGGTACAAATGTCCAAAATGTCCTCATGAGATAAAATAGATGTAGTAAAAAGTGACAATTTTTTATGTAAGCCATGAACATTTTTATAATACGCAGAGATTTTCGATAATGATTATCTTAATGTCCTTTGATATTAATATACCCTGCAGGATATTAATACAACCTGAAGGAACAGCACTCTTCCTTAGCGACTCACAGGATGACTCCTGTTGTCATTTGTAATTATCTTATTTTAGGGCCTTTCCTCGTCCACTTTTTTAAAGTTTATTTTTCAGTCACCAGTTCCCAAGGGGGGTTTCCATTCTGATTCATTGTTTCCTCATGCTATCGAAAGAATTGCAACAGTTATGAGAGAGCCTGTGAATGCAGAACTCTCCATTGACAACTTCACTATTGGGAGAGGTGGCTCACTGCATCAACTGATGTCGCTGCAATGCCTCTGACCGAGAGGTCCCAGGTTCAAGTCCTGACAATGACAGGATTTTTCAATACTAGCTAGATAGCTAGGTCAATTTCAGTGGTTGTATGGAGGAGAATTCTAGATCCCAGCTGCTCTGATCAGTAGTTCCCTGTAGTTTTTCCAATCAACACCAGGCAAAAGCCGGAACAGTACCTCAGTCAAACGGGCCACGTACTGCATGCAATCTTTCCTTCCGCTTCCTTTTCCTATCCTCACCCCTTACACACTTACACTAACATGCACTACACTACCATATGCCAGGAGACCGGTCAGGAACTTAGAATTTGTCCCAGCAGGAGCAGTGCCCCACTGGTGGGAGATACCTAATTGGGAGTAACTACACTACCCAACGGTAGGTCAGTGCCAGATCTCGCCATCCAGCTGGAGGAAGATCTTAATAGACGATATAAAACTTAATCTTGAGCACAAGGAATTATTTGGTATTTTAAATATAAATCGCTTACCATGAGAGAACTATTGTCACTAACTTACCATTGAACCACATTCATACAATATGCATATACTTCCAAAAATAACTTGCCAAAATCATATAGTATTCCAAAAATAAATTTGTGATTTGTTAAAACAATCCCACCACAAGATATAGAGGTCCTTGCATCCTTATGGGAAATCATAACTTCAAATAAGGCAGACAGAGCTCAACAATATGAGCACATGGGAAAACTGCTTCATAGACATCCTAAACAAACAACACACAACCTTAGGCGCTGAAACCCCAAATCCAAAAACCCAAAACATCATTCAATTCACTAAAGAAGAAGTAAGACAAATAATAATGAAGACTAAAAGCAAGAAAGTGGCAGGGCCAAATGGAATATACAATGAACAGAGAAATACTAGAATCATGGAGAAAATCCATCATATAACTATTGTATGATGATGAAAATGGGATGCACCTGACCCCAACGCTTACAGGGGAATTGCGCTCAAAAGTAATGGTTTCAAAATATTCTCAAAACTAATCGTGGATAGACTTGTGAAAGAGACGAACCACCTAATTCCAGAACAACAGGAAACAGAGAAACCACCCTCCAGGCGATCAGTAATTTATTAGACGAAATAGAAGCAGCCCTGAAACAGCCAAAAGGAATATACTATGCAGTCATTATTAACTACACAAAGGCATTTGACCTCCTGAAGGGTACTGGAAAATCTATCAAACATGATAGGAGAAATGCACATCACAAGGAGAACGTTCTGTCTTACAACAAAGTAAAAATATATGATGGAGTCTGTTTCTCTGAAGACATCGTTCAAACAAACGGAGTCGTGCAGGGGGACCCAATAAGCCTCATTCTGTTCAACATACTCACCACAGGCATAACAAGGATAACAGAGCACAGTCCGGAAGCATTCCTGCACATGTATGCAGATGATATTGTGGTTCCATCAGCCTGACAAGCCTCCAACAAGCCACGGACAATTTAGAAGCATTGGGCAGAAGAAAACTACCTCCAAGTCTATAAAAGCAAGACAGTGCAGATGACCTTTCAAATAGGAAAAATAGCAGCAAGTGAGAAAATAAAATTAAAGAACAAATATCTCAAAACAGTTCAATATTACAGATATTTAGGAAGAACATTGAAAATTCATATCAGACAAAAAGCAGCAACTGCAATTAGAGCCATGTACTCAATAAAAAATACCCACAAACTGTCACTAGAATCAGAAATCAAAATATTTCATGCACTCATTAGCCCAATCATAACATACGGAATACAATTAATATGGGAAAAACTATCAATAGCTGATCTAAGGTCCATAGAGAGAACCAAGGTAAGATTTCTAAAGAGAGTCCCATTTCTTCCAAAGAACACAAAATCAAGATTAGTATATGAACTGACCAGAGAACCAATCTACATCGAGGACTTAAGATACCAATTACTACTACCATCCACCAGGCAAAGTACACAAGTGTTAGAAAAAGAAAAAAGAAGAGAAGAGAAATATGGCCAGAATTGTACTCAACAGATGCCATGATGGAAAGAAAATGGACAGAAACAAACCAGGAATTAAGACACATGACTCATGGGTGACTTGGAAGACTGGCGCCTCATGGGTTTCATTACAAAATCTGTGCAATCTCACATCACCACGAAGTGAAAGAAGACTGTATGTACTCTCGTGTAGTGAACAGTGTGAATGATATCACATTCAAAAACGCAAGAAAAGAACTGAAACAGTGACAATATACCAAAGAATTAAATCAAATTTTTATGCACTTTCGTGTGCACTCCATTATCCGTAACTTCAAATAATATAAGTTAATAAAAATGTAGTCGCACACTTTGTGTACAAGGTGATATAGATGAAACTATAAAACAAATACTATTTTTCACCTTTTTTTCTCACTTCTCTTGTAGGAGGTCACTGGGAAGAATGTTCTGCTGCTGCCAGTAGGTGCCTCTGATGATGGTGCTCATTCTCAGAATGAAAAACTTGACATCAGAAATTATATACAAGGGGTAAGCTGGTTTTCCATTCTTATTAATGATTTTTGTGACTATCAGCTAGGATAATATCTATTTATTAACAGGTCATTTGTATATATTTATTGTTTTACTACTTCATCAGCCATAATCTAATATGAAATAAACAAAATCAATGAAACTCTGTTCTTGCTACAGTGAATGGTTTAATGTAAATTTCTTCCATATTCAGTTAGTATATGCCACCAGAAAAGTTATTATGTATTATAGGATTCAAAATTTATTGAAGGTAGAAGTAGTTTGCTGTGATAAGCATCTCCAAAATATTTTTTTTAAGGGGAAATTGATTACAAGAGAAGAAATTAGATGTTGGTATTTCATTGCCTCCTTTATTTTAGAATGAGTTTTACAAATACACTTTTCTTGACAAGATTAGGATTATAGCTTTATCACAGTATTAATTTATTTAAAATATATTGTTTGCGAAATACGGAAGCATGTAAAATTAGTTATCAGGTGTTGATCAGATGGTGAATGCAGAATGCCATATATGCGTGTTTATCAAACTAGATGTAACAACACCCTGAGAAGTTATCTGAAGATTTATGTGGTGTCTCAAACTGTCTGATATAGTCTGGTATTAATTCGTGATGGACAATACTATAATAATGATTTTCTGTGATGACCCATCTGAAATAAATAAAAAGTAATATAATGGATGGGCGGGATGAAGAAATGCAAGTGAATTTTTCCTTTGTTCTTTTAAACCCTTTCTTTCATTTATTCCATTTAAAAGCATTGTGGGCTCCATCTATCCCCCTTATGCTATTTTCTATAATATGCGTGATTGTAAGTCACAACACAAAGAATTGAATATGACTGTCCCAAAGATAATCTTGGAAACAAAATTATGGTAAATATCTAGAATTTTAATAATCAAAGGCCTCTTCTTATGACTAGCTGTGATTCTAATCTTCATTATTGTGTAAAGGTTACAAAATGTTGTGTTTTTTTAACTGACCATAACATTTCTACAGTTCCACTATTCCATTGAGTATCTTCTGCGCTAGAATATTGTTGGAATTCATAGTGACCATTTGTTGAAATTTCTAAACATACTAAGCAGTTATGTAGCTAGGTTCTCAGGTACCCAGGTGTAGAAGTTTCAAATGAGACTCCTGTCTGCAACAAATGTTCAATTAAGAGTTTGAAATCTAATTGGTGTAAGAATATGGCTGGTGCAATGGGAACAGAGTGCGATTTGTCTTATTCTTTGTTGAGATTGGACTGCGGGAGTCGTTAAGGGACCCTTACTTCAGGGAACCAGTGCAATGCACTGTTTGTACCTCCCCAGATATGTCCCTGAACTTAAAAATCTTCATTTAATAAGATTTGAAATTTTTTTCCTGTTTGAATGGAGTTTTTGTTTATTAGTTTCTTCCTCCATTAGGTAACATGCATATTATGATGATGTTATTAGATGTGAAAAATATTCTAATTTGTTGTATGTTTTGTTGCTTTATATCTAAAAACAATTCATTATATCAGGTTAATTTAATATTTTTGTAATCAACTAAATCTTGATTTTACGAATGAATCGCCTGTTCATATTCAGCAATAGACCCAATTAACACCTCGATCATTGACCTTCAAAATTTCATCAACCCTGTATGGGGTTGATTATAATATAGAATGGGAATGGTTTTACTCCTCTTAAAATTGAATGCTAAAATGGTTTGTTATTCTTATAGAGTGCCTAAGTAGCCCCTTAATGGTTTTAGATACTTTCATTTGAGGGGCAAGGATGTTGCACAAAATATTAGTTCATTAATGTGTCACCATAGGAAATGTTTGTAAAACCCTTGCTATGTTAAACTGTTCTTGAGAAATATTAAATCGGAAGATTGGTAAATTATGTATGTGACCATCTTTTATATGTATTTATAAAATTTATTTTTCTTAATTCAGATTAACCAAGTTTCTGTCTTTCCTTTAATACTATATTATTTAACTATGTTGAATAGAAATTATAAATTTAAACTACCTGCTCTCATCTATGGACATGTCTGTTTCTTATTTTCAGACAAAGTTGTTGGCAGCCTATTTGTATGAAGTTGCGCAGTTGAAGTGATTTTTATTACAGAAATATTGCCTACTTAAAGTGCAATTACAAATATTGATGAAAACTTCTATTTCTAATTGCTTTAATTGAATTACACTGTACATTGCAGTGGCACCCCAGAAACATTATAAAAAAATAAAAATATGCTGCTATATTCTATTAATAACAAAATGTTAAGTATGAAAAAAAATCTTTGGGTAAGGTTAAGAGCAAATTGGTCTTATCAACTAAGATTTAAACCATATATTTTTATGCTTATTAATAAATAATCTTCAAAGTAAAATGTGTTGTATTTTTCATTTTCATATATCTTGTGTGGTGTGTTTCTGTGACGTCAGTTCCAGAGTTAATAGTTTGGGGACCCCAAGCATTATAGTATCTGTCTGGAGATTCTAAAATTTGTAATCTAAAGTTCAGAGAGAGAGGATTAAAAAAAAGTGGTATACTGAGACCTAAACAATTCTACAGTGCAAAACATTCCCTTTTTTT